TTTCACCAAACTGTTCTTGACATACTGAACATTCTAATTCCCTCTTCACATCGTCGATAAAGCTCCTACTTTGAGCCATCACGTAAACACACCAACACACCAAAATGTCGAGAGCAGGACCCGCGCACGAATGAGAATCGAGTGGTTCTGGAGACCGGAAGCTGATTGGCCTGTGGCTATTGTAGCATCTTATTCTTTTTTTCTGATCATGATCTGTTGTCTCCATCATTCTACAGGCCATAACTTTTTCAAAATATATCAACAGGTGAAAGCAAAGAACTGAAAGTTTAAGTGGTTAGAAATTTCGTGATTTAGAAATAGTTACATTTCTGCTGATTCCTGGAAATCGCGTGACTTCCGGTTTCGTTTTCTCAGAAATAGCGTGACCGAGAAAAAACAGTGGGCCAGGTTGGCATATGCATAGGTGTGAGCATAGCATTTGATCGGGCGACCGCAAAACCAAGAGGTCTACTTCGGTGTTCATATTCAACTGACTGCGTGGATCTCAGGATCGTAGATGCTGTAGCTATCACATTCGCCGATCCTGAAGGTAAGAAATAACACAACCCAAAATGTTTGTCATGAGCTTGCTTCTGGTCAGAATCCGAGTCAGATCAAGAAACACAGCATGTGCCGCTTTTCACACTTTTCCGGTGGAAAAACAGTCGAATCCCGATAACTTGAACCCTCGCTAACTCGAGCCTGAAAACCCCTCTTTCAGGTTACTTAGCACTCCATATTGTAAATAACACGATGCACATTTAAAAAGTATGTGGTCTGTAGTCTTGCATTTTACACTGACCGATTTGTCGGTGTGATCAGTCGGCTAATCAATCGGCGTACAGGATTAGGTACCTGAAGATCTGAAGCCGATCAATTGTCACATATGATGTGTCTGAAGTCTTGGTTTAGTACTAATATGAGGTTTAAAATCGGTTGTTTTACTTAAATTTGTCAATTCTATTTATTTAGCAGACCCATCTTACCTGCCCACGCATGTTTCGAATCAATAGAACCAAGCTATTCCCCACCCCTCCCCCTTCCCTTGGGATCGTGTAGGCTGAGTGGGTAGGCCTTTCATCTTGTTTCAGCAATCTTTTTCCATAATTCAGCACAATATTAGGCAAGAAATTTACTTATTGTAATGTCGGTCAGCTTTAGAGCGGATAATATTTTCCTACATTATGACATCAGAATTGCTGATTTTCAGTGTCACGCCATTCAAAATAGATCAAAATCAAAATCAAAACCGTTCAATAGATAAAGTCCAGAA